ATTATTCTCTCAAAATTATTACACTTATGGATTTTTTTTCCACTAAAATAAAAAAAATTAAAAAACAAAATAAAAGATAAAAATAAAATAAATAAAAATGAATAAAAATGAATAAAAATGAATAAAAATGAATAAGAATTAATATGGGAAGTTAAATGGAAAACTAAGTCTTAAAAATGTTCATGAAAATTTTTAATTAAAAACTATAATACTAATTATTATAAACTAGACGATAGTATTAAAAAAACATAATTAAATAAATACTTAATTTTTAATTAATTTTTATTAATTTTATTAATTTATGTTATAACTAGGAATAATAAAAATTTTTATTCATAAAAGTCAAATATTGACCGATATATTTTTCTTTTTATTTTATTATAATTATATGCATATGTATAGTGTGAAATGGGAAAAGTTGAGAAAGATTTATTTCTTACATTATATAAATAGAGATAATTTGAATATTTTTTTTTGTCTATAATTATTATTTTTTTTTCGAGTTTTTGGAATAAAAAGCAGTCTATCGCACTGTCCGCTTTTGCACTTACTTAACTATTTACTAATACACGAGATGAGAGCGAAAATGTTTTTTTTACAATTTTTTTTTGCCTTTTTTTCTTTTTTTTTTTTGATAATAGACGAAATTGCAGATATGTCATTTAAAGTGTAAAGTCGAAAGTTTAAAAGTCAACCAACAGCCAAGATAAAGATCTTAAAGTTACCGGTGGTCCATTTTCTTTAATCTTGTTCGTCAGCTCATTGACACACGTCGAGTAAACTTATCAGTGTCTCTCCTCGACATTAATGTAATACACTTTAGTAAAAAAAAGAGAGAAAGAGAGAACTATATTTAATATACTATCGCTACCTTTTTTTATCTCGCAGGACCGCATGACATTTTTTTAGGAGAACAAATTTTGTAGTTTTTATTTCGAATTAATTTTTTAATTATTACAAAAATTAATAATTTTTCTTTTGAATTTTGAATAGTTTATTTCGAAAATTAATCATTTTTCTCGAAAATTTCGAATTCACTCTTCAAAAATTTATAATTTCAGAATATCGAATTGATTATTTCGAATTAATAATTTGTAAGTTTTTAAGTACTAATTTCGAAAATTAATAATTTCATACTTTCGTTTTAATTATTTTGAGAAAATAATTTTTTAATTTTGGAATTACCAATAACTTCGAAAATTAAATTCCCATCGATATTTTTAATAGTTATTTCAAAAATTATAATTTTTTTCAAAATTGAATAACTAGTAAACCAGAGGCAATTTTTTTAAAGCTGGTTAAAAATTGATTTTTAATAACAGTTTTAATGAAGAAGATCGTTAAAAAAAATATTTAACATTTTTTTTCTATTTAAAAATAGACATTGAAAGTCGATTTTAACTGGTAGTATAAAAATTAAATTATTTTACAGAATTTTTGAAACATCGAATTAATTATTTCGAAAATGAATAAATTTCCTTCGAAATTTCAAATTAATTAGTCAAAAATAAATATTTCTGGATTTTTCAATTAATTATTTTGGACATAATAATTAAATAATTTTGAAATATCAGTTGTTCAATTATTTTGTTAATTAATAATTTTCGCTCCAAATTACGAATAATTATTTCAAAAGGTAATAATTTCGAAAATTCGAATTATTTATTACAAAAATTAATGATTTTCGTTCGAAATTTCGAGTTAATTAAGTACTTGCAAAATTAGAAGTTTTTTTTAGATTTTTTTGCAGAACCGCAAGACATTTTCGAAATAAAAATATTTTACTATTCACTTCGAATATTTAGAATTTTGAATTAATTATTTTTAAAACATAATTTTCATACGAAATTTCAGTGTAATTCTTCAAAAATAAATAGTTTTGTAATTTCTAATTAATTATTTCGAAAACAAATAACTTTTCTTAGAAATTTCAAAATTATTCGTCGAAAATTAATAATTTCTGCGAATTTCGAGTTAATTGTTAGTTTCAAAAATTAATAAGTTTTCTTCAAAACTTTTAATTAATTTGTCGATAATCAATATTTTCGTAATTTTTAATTAATTATTTCGAATTAATTTGATTTTTAAAATGCAAGTAGTACTAATTAAATTAAAAATTAATTAATTTTCGTTTCAAAATTTCAAATTCATTAATTTGAAAATTAATAATTTTTATTCTAAATTTCGCATGAATTCTTCAAAAATTGATAATTTCGAAATTTCGAATTCATTTTTTATCGAATTAATAATTTGTAATTTTTAAAATACTAATAATTTCGTAAATTAATAACTCTCGTTCAAAATTTCAAATTAATTATTTCGAAATTTAATAATTTCGGAATTTCCAATTAATTTTTTCAAATTAATAATTGTGAAAATTTCTTGTACTAATTCTTTCGAAAATTTATGCTGTTTGTTCGAAATTGGTAAATTAATTATTACAAAACTTTCTTGTACTAATTATTTCGAAAATTTATGCTGTTTGTTCGAAATTAGTAAATTAATTATTACCAAAATTAAAAATTTTCTTTCAAAATAAAAAAAATTAAAACCAGAAGCAATTTTTTTCGAAAACTATTAAAAATCGATTTAAATCTAAATTGTCAGCAATAATGTACAAATTTAAAAACAATTTTTAAAATTTTTCTTTTTTTATAGTCAACAAGTTTATTTTTAGTTTTACTGCAAGATAAATTAAAATTTTTACACAAAAATGTAATTTTTTTTAAAGTAAATAATTATTTTTCCCTTTTTTCACTTATAATCTATAAATTTTATCATAAAAGGAAAAAAAATAAAGAAATCGACAATATTGAAATCAGATAACAAACGCAAATGTGACAATTATCCTTGGTTTTCGCATTTCTTTTATTTTTGTTCTTTATTTCTTTTTTATTGCTTTTTATTGTTTTTTTTGTCTCTTATTTTACTTTTTTCATTTTATGACACTTTGATATCGATGTTTTAAATCTCTAGTATTTTCATCATGCACAATATAACGGATCTCTAAAAACTTAATAGCTCCACGTACAGGTGGTGACGGGGAAAACATAGTTTTCTTTTTTCTTTTTTCTTTATTTTCTTTCATTCTTTCTTTTTTTCTTTTCTCAAACCATAGTGTAGAGAGAGAGAGAGAGAGAGAGAGACTGTGTCGTAAAGCTCGTAATATAAATCTTGTGGAACGTTGAACGTGTATTTAGAAAGACGCATCGAAGTACATTCGATAATTTATAGGAAAACGTCTCTTTACAAGTCTTGAGAAACTTATTTGCTTTTTCCTTTCAAGTTTGTGAACTTTACTTTCTCTTTGAGGTAAACTCGATTATATTCTACCGGAAATTGATAATAATTTCACCATCGCTGTCCACATATAGAAAATTGTTGATTTAGTACCTAGTTAATTTAATAATTACGAAATTTCTACTTTTGTCTTTTTATTTTTTTGAATTTTTAAAATTTTACATCTTTGACTTTTTTTAATATTTTTATTTTGATGCTTGTAAAATTTCTACCCTTGATTTTAATTTTTTTTTAATATTTTCGAATCTTTTACTCTTTTTATTATCGGTTTTTGATATTATTTCAAAATTTCAACCCTTAATTTTTGTTTTATTTTTTGGTAATTACAAACGTCTAACCCTCGAATTTTAGAATTATTTCAAAATTTCAACTTTTTATTTATTTTTTTGGGGAATTTCATTTTTTTAATAATTTCGAATTTTTTTTACTCTTTATTACCTATCAGTTTTTAATATAATTTCAAAATTTCAACCCTTGAATTTTTCTTTTTAGTAATTATATAAAGTTTTTACCCTCGATTTTGATTTTTTTTAATAATTTCAAAATTCCTACCCTTGTTTACTATTTCGAAATTTTTTTTAATATTTCAAAATTACGATCCTTTGGTTTTTAATAATTTTTTTATATTTGCAAAATTTCTACCCTTGATATCGTTTTTTTATTAATTCAAAAATTTCTCTCCTGGTTTTTTGTATTTCAGAATTATTTCAAAACTTTAAAACTTACAATTTTTATTTATTTTTTTAAGGATCAATTTCACAATTTCACCCTTTCAATTCTAATTATTTTTTCGACATTTGCAAAATTTCTACCCTTGACTTTGATTTTTTTATAATTCAAAAATTTCTACCCCTGTTTATTACTTCAGAATTATTTAATAAATTTTAAATTACAAATTTTTATCCCTATTGATATTTATTTTTTTTTATTGGGAATTTCATAATTTTTATTACTTGATTTTGATTTTCTTTAATAATACAAAAATTTCTACTTTTTATTTATTTATTATTTTTGTTGTTGTTGTTGACAATTTCAAGATCTCAACCCTTAATTTCGCCATTTTTTAATAATTTAACAATTTTTACTCTTTTTGATTATTTTTTTATATGCTTTCAAAATTTAAACCCTTAATTTTTGCTTTTTAATTAAAAAACCTTGGATTTTGATTTTTTTAATGATTCCAAAATTTCTACCCTTGATTGTTATTTCTTATAATTTTTTTTTGATTAAGAAAATTCTAGATTTTAATTAAAGAATTTTTTGTGCAAAAAGTGCTTACTAATACTTTTAATAATTTAAAATAATTGTCTCTGGTAAGTTTCCGTGTAGAAAAAATATAGAAATTTAACAATTAATAATTGTATAAAAAATTGTAATTGTTTAATATTATTTATTTATCGTTAATGTTTCTAAAATAATTAAAAAATAAGAAAGGGAAAAAGGGAAAGAATAAAGAAAAAATAAAAGAAAGAAAGGAAAAAAGTTAGAGGAGGAAAAATTCAAGAATGGAGAAAAGAAAAAATAAAGGGAAATATGAAAAATAAATAAGAACAATGGGAAAGAAAAAAGAAAGAAAACAAAAAAAAATAGAAGGAAAAAATTGAAAGGAGGAAAAATTAAAGAAAGAAGAAAAGAAAAAAAGCAGAAATGAATGAAGGGAAAAAAGTAAAAAAAGAAAAAAAGGCAAAAAGTGACAAAAACGAACAAGAAAGAATGGAGAAAAGAAAATAAGAAAAAAGAAAAAAGAGAAAAATACGTATTTGAACAAATTTGACAGTAAAAAAATAAAAATATTAATGAGACACATTATCATCGATGAGTGTGAAATTTGAGTCACTTTGAAATTCAGGTGGACTTGGAAGAAGAGGATAATAATCAATAGTCTTGTGATCTTCAGAAAGTGGGAGATTGAGGATCCTCATCCTCATCCTCCTCGTCCTCGTCTATTCCTGGCTCGCCTAAGGCGTGTGCGAATTCTGAAACAGATATTTGATTTTTACTTTTCAACGATTTCGACATATTATATTTATATTCTCTCTCTCTCTCTCTCTCTCTCTCTCTCTCTCTCTCTCTCTCTCTCTCTCTCAATATACCTATATATAGTCTCGATACTAGCAAATAGAATGACAAGAATTTTGCACGATAACAATAACGAACTCAAAGAACGCATTATCCATGTACCTTTGATTTTTACGTATAAAATATTTCCCATATGGAACAATATTCAAAGAATACTTTTACGGATTTTTTTTTTAAGAAAAAAATAATTCTTCTCCTCTTTGTAACCCCGTCGACTTTTCCAAAAAGAGACGTTATTAATTTTCTATATCTTATAATCTCAAAGAAAAATCTTTGGTTTCAGATATATTTTTTGTTACTTTGGGAAAAAAATTTCCATTCTTCCTATGTTGAATCTTCAAAGAATCAAAGAATATTATAATAATAATTTAAATTTAAATCTAAAATCTCTATTTCAAAAGACTGTAAAAAATTCTTTTTCTTTCTAATTTTATATGAAAAATATGAATTGATAAAGAGATTTAGCAAAATTGATTTCATGAAATTAGTTTAGAGAGAAAGCAGAAAAATGTTAAAAGTCAGTTAAATTAGGTCAAGATTTTTATATTTTTTACAAAGGCATTTAGTAGCAATTGGTAATTTATTTGAGTTATAATTTAATGAGATGATATAAATCAGTAGAAGAGGAAGATTTTAGTGAGACAGTAAAAAACAAATTTTTTTTTCTGAATTCATTCGTAAAAAGATTTGAATCACAATTATGAATAATATTCTTTATACTAATAACTATAAAAATTTATTTCCAACAAGAATATATTTTAATAAATTAATTGCCTAAAGAAATATAAAGCCATTTTTACTAAAAGTTTACAAAAATTCAGAAAAATATGTCATTTGTAAGTAGTAAAGTCCTCGTTTAGTCAGACGTGACTTGATATTTTTTTGTGAATACATTTTTTTTGACAAATGGAATTTAATTTATTTTCCATATTATTAAGAACTTATTTACAGAACTTAATCCGAATATTTTTCACTGAGATAATAAAATGAGTGGTAAAAGTTTTGTTTTAGTCAGACGTAAAAAGAAATTTTCATATTTACCTATATAAAAATGTAATTCTAACGAGAATATTTACATAAAGCAGCAGAGATTTTACTAGAAATTAATAAAAAATAGAAAAAAAGGTCAATTTTATATGTAGTAGAAACCACATTTTAGTCAAGACATCATTTGATATTTTTTGGTGAAAACATTCTTGCAAAAAAAAGAATAAAAATTATTTCCCACAGTGTTTAGTATAATTATTTACAGAAGTTAAAGCGAAGTTCTATTTACTAACATACAATCAGTAGTAATAGCTCGTTTTAGTCAGGCACAAAAGAAAATTTTCATTATTTAACTATAAAAATTAATTTCTAACGAAAATATTTGCATAAAGAACTGGATAATTTACTAGAGATTCACAAAAATAGGAAAAAGTTCCAATTTTAAGTAGTAAAAACCATGTTTAGTCAGACATTATTAATATTTTTTGGTGAATTAATTTTTTTTGTGAATATATGTTTTTGTTAAAAACAGAGTAGAATTTATTTTCCATATTGTTTAGTAATTATTAATAGAAGTTAAACACCAGCTGTTTCATCTAGATAATGGAATCAGTAGTAAAAGTTCTTTTTAGTCGGTCGTAAAAAGAAATTTTCATAGTTACCTATAAAAATTCATTTCTAACGAAAATATTTTCATAAAGTAATAAATAATTCACTAGAAATTCTCAATAATTAAAAAAGGTTCTAATTCGAAGTAGCAAAAACCACTTTTAGTCAGACAGCATTGGATTTTTTTTGTTAAATACATTTTTGTAAAAAATACAATAAAAAATATTTTTCACAGTATTTAGTGACTATATTTACAGAAATTAGAACGTAGTTCTTTTTTTTTCAAAGTAGTAAAACCTCGTTTTATTCAGACACAAAACAAAATTTTTATATTCAACTATAAAAATTCTTTTCTAATAAGAATAATTTGAATAAAGCAATGTTTTTTTTTCTAGAAATTCACAAAACTTAGAAAAAGTAACAATTTTAAGTAATAAAAATCACTTTTTTTGCTTTTTCCTTTCAAGTTTGTGAACCTGACTTTCTCTTTGAGGTAAACTTGATTATATTTTACCGGAAAGTGATAATAATTTTTCCCCTCGCTGTCCACATTAAGAAAATTGTTGTTTTAGTGGTTTTTTTTTAATAATTACAAAATTTCTACTCTTGTTTTTTATTTTTTTGGTGTTTTGAAAATACATCTTTGGTTTTTTTTAATATTTTTTTTTTCTTGTAAAATTTTTACCCTTGATTTTTATTTTTTTTTTAATATTTTCGAAATTTTTACTCGTTATTATCGGTTCTCGATATAATTTCTAAATTTCAACCCTTGAATTTTCTTTTTTTTCTTTTTGGTAATTATATGAAGTTTCTACCCTCGATTTTGATTTTTTTAAAAATTCCAAAAGGACACCGCACTAAATACACTAAAAATGGCTTTCGGTTAAAATTCTTAATATTTTCAAAATTTTTAGTTAAAGGTTTTCTGTTTAAAAAAATAATTAAGCGTAGGTCAAGAAATAAATAACCGAAAGCCATTTGCAGTGTGTTTAGTGCGGGGTCCTTTCTACCCTTGTATTCTATTTGGAAATTATTTCAATTTTTCAAAAATTCACCATTTGGTTATAAAATTATATTGAAAAATATATAAAAATTTCTTTTCAATAATAATTCTTGTGCAATTCAATGGATATTTTTAAGAGATTCAGTAAACTTGAGAGTAGTTTATATTCTAAGTAGTAGAAGTCGTATTTGGTCAGACATCATTTGACATTTTTGTGAATTTATTCTTCTTTTTATAGTAAAATCCTATAAAAAATTTACTACTGATTTATTATTTGCAAGAGTTTAAGACGACAATTTTCCTTTGTATTAAATTTAGAATCAGTAGTAAAAGTTCTTCTTAGTCAGACCTTTAGGTAATATTAACCCCATAACTGTGAAATTTAATTTCTATCAAGAACATTTGTATGACACAAAATATATTTTTAAAGAAATTCGTAAACATGGAAGGTAGTTTAAATTTTAAGTAGTTATTAAATTTATTTTTAGTTAGACGTATTTTAGTTATAATTATTTAATTTTTATGTAATATTTTTATAATTGTATAAATTTAGTACCATATTAATTTTAATATTATACTGTATTTTTTATGAGCAATTTTTCTTAGTTTTCTTCGAATTAAGTAGTGAAAACTAAGTTTAGTCAGACATCAGTTACTTTGTTAATTTTCTTTTTGTAGATTAATTTTTTTAAAAAAAGAGAAAAAATTGTATAAAATATCAAATCAAGTCTGACTAGAGATAGTTTTTACTACTTAAAATTTAAGATTACTGTAATTTTTAAGAATTTCTCGCAAAAACCATTCATTGCATTTTAGAAATATTTCTTAAATAAAAAAAAATGTTTCTCTAAAAGTGAAATTTATTTTTCTGCAAGAAGTAATGTTTTTAGCGCAGTCAGTGGTAAAGAATAAAAATTGTCTAAACGAAAAAATCGAAACTATGAAGGTCATTGTCCAAAAATACTCACGAGAAGAATTTCTTTAGAATCAAACTGTATTCTAATCTACACCTCTAAAAAGTAGAGACCTTAAAGATGAGGTAAATGGCCTCGTTCTATTGCCTATTTTTTTGCTCTCGTTTAAAAGGCGCCCTTGAAGAAAAGTACCACTTAGACGAGAGACAGAGAGATGCCAAGGCTCTTCCAGACAAGGTTATCTTTCAAAATTACCATTCGAAAGGAAAGTTCTAATTTTTCTTTTTTTTCGAGACGATTTTCCTGAATGAACAATGACACTAAATACCATATTTGACATTTCTTATCTAAAAAATACGATTTTGTCAAAAAAAAAAAAAAAAATCTAAAATGTCAAGGTTTACATTAATTTTGACCTTTAAAAATAAATTTTTCAAAAAATTCATTGCATTTTATAAATATTCTTGTTCTAAATGAATTTTTACAGTTGTGTGGTTATAAGTTCCTTGTGGTCTAAAAAAAAGATTTTTTACTATTAATTTTAAATTTATTTTAGTGGAAAAAATGTCTCTTTTACTTTACTTACTTACTTACTTTTACTCTTGCCAGTAATAATAAGACAGCAGTAATAATTTCCATACGATTTTTTTATTAAAAGAATAATTTGTAAAAAATATCAAATGATGTCTGACTAAAGATAATTTATACTATTTAAAATTCAAGCCTCTTCAAATTTTTAAGAATTTTAACATCTACTTCTTTTATTATTCGCAGTAGAAGAGGTTAATTTATAATTTTCCATATAAAAAGTGAATTGTAATAATTTTTATGCAATTTTTTAATAAAAAGAGAACAAATTGTATAAAATATCAAATCATGTCTGACTAAAGGTAACTTTTACTACTTATAAATTTCTTATTTTTAAGAATTTCTCGAGAAACATTTATTGCATTTTAGAATTATTCTTATTCTAGATAAATTTTTTTTCAGTGAAATAATAAAGTTTATTTTGTGTCTGACTATTCGTGATTTTTACTACTTAAAATTGTAACTAATTTTTATTTTTGCGAATATTTAAAAAAATATTAATTGTGTCATACAAATATTCTTGTTAGAAATTAATTTCAACAGTTCTGAGATCAATATTTCCTTGAGGTCTGACTGAAATCATTTTTTACTACTGGTTCCAAATTTATTACAGTGTAAACACTTTCATTTTACTTTTGCAAGTAATAAATAAGCAGTAAATTTTTTATACAATTTTTTTTCGTATGAGGAAGAAAAAATGTACAATAATATCAAATAATGTCTGACCAATTATGATTTTCACTACATAAAATTAAAACTTATTCTAAATCGAGAGAATTTCTTGAAAAAACATTCGTCGCATTGTGCAGTATTATTGATCTAAATGAATTTTTATGGTTAAGTAATAAATTTTATTGTGCGCGTCTGACTAAAAAGATCTTTTACTACTGTTTCTAAATTTATTACAGTAGAAGAACATTTATTTTACTATTGCAAGTAATAAGTGAGCAGTAATAATTTTACTGCACTTTTTTATGAGAAGAAAAATAAATTTTCAAAAAATGTCAAACTACGTCTGACTTAATGGGGTTTCTACTACTTAAAATTGGAAGTTCATATAGTTTTTGTGAATTTCTATATCATTTATGGAAATATTCTCGATAGTTATGGATTTTTGTACTTCAATATAAAAATTTTCTTTTTTGTCTGACTAAAACGAATTTTTACTACTGATTTCATATTTTATTAAATAAATATTAATTAACTTCTCCAACTAATTACTAATAATTAAATACTGTGAAAAAAGTTTTTTTAATTTATTTTTAATAGAATGTTTTCACTAAAGAATATCACATGTCTTCCTAAACATGGTTTCCACTACTTAATGTTTAAATTGGCCTTTTTTTAATTTTCGAAAATTTCTAGTAAAATACCTATTGCATTATGCAAATATTCTAGTTAGAAATTAATTTCTATAGTTAGATATGAAAATTTCTCTTTTATGTCTGATTAAAACGATTTATTACTACTCATTTTATCGTAGCAAAAAAAAACTGCTGCTTAACTTCTGTAAATAATTACTAAACACTGTAGAAAACAATTTTTACTCCATTTTCTACAAGAACGTTTTCACTAAAAAATATAAACTCATGTCTGACTAAACGTGGTTTTTACTACTTAAAATTTGAACTTTTTCTCATTTTTGTTATTTTTTAGTAAAATATCTGCGGCTTTATTTTTATTTATTTTTATTCTATTTTTTGCAAAAATGTTTTGATAAAAAAAATATCTAATGATGTCTGACTAAACGTGGTTTCTACTACTTAAAATTGAATTTTTTCTATTTTTTATTAATTTCTAGTAAAATTTCTGCTGCTTTATGTAAATATTCTCGTTAGATTTATATTTTTATATAGGTAAATATGAAAATTTCTTTTAACGTCTGACTAAAACAAAACTTTTACTACTGATTCCATTACCTCAGTGAAAAAACTGCGGTTTAACTTCTGTAAATAATCACTAAATACTATGACAAATAATAAATTGTTTTCTATTTTTCACAAAATATGTATTCACCAAAAAATATTAATTTATAAATTCATGTCGGACTAAAGGTGGTCATTACTACTTAAAATTTAAACTTTTTTTTATTTTTTCTAATTTTCTAGTAAACAATCTGCGGCTTCATGAAAATATTCTCTTTAGAAATGAATTTTTACAGTTAAATATGAAAATTTCTTATTACGTCTGACTAAAACGAACTTTTACTACTGATTCTATAATCCCCCGTGGAAAAACTGCGAAAAATTTATCTTTTGCAAATAATAAATAAACAATAGCGAACATTATTAAATAAAGAAAATAATTCTGTTAATTTTTTTTACAAAGTGTATTCACAAAACAATCAAATGATGTCTGACTAAACTTGATTTTTTCTACTTTAATACTTATTTTTAGAAAATCTCATAAATTTTTTCTCTTTTTTTCTTTTAAATCATATCTAGATATGCGTGCAAAAATGTGGATAAAAAAAAAATTCTTTTCTTACCGTAAAAGTCGATACGACCGTCACCATCAACGTCTACTTCTTTTATCATGTCCTCGACTGAAAAGAGTTATAAAATTAGCATACAATTTTAAAAATACAAAGCATGTAGAGAATATTAAAACAAAGCATGATACTGATTTTAATTATTTGCTAAAAATTTTTTTTTATATAGGAAAAAGAATAAATTAACACAATAATAAATTTTCTATACACAAAAATTTTGATTTAATATTGTAAATGAATAAAACAAAAATGTTTTTTTTTATTAATAAAGTCAAAAATAATTTAATACCATAAAGGCAAGTAATTTAATATGAAATTCCATTCTTAATATGCGTAACTATAAATATACACGATAATTACAATGACCACTTTTATGAGTTTTGAATTGAAGAAAAGTAATTAAATTATGGAAATTTTCTGCATTTTCACCCCCTTCTTCTCCCCTTTCTATCTCTCTCTCTTTTTTTCTTCCTTTCTCTCTTTTTAAAATGCACGAAACGCAGTTGGTCAAAAAAAAAAAACTCTTAATTAAAAAGTATTTGAAAGACTTTTGTTTTTTCTCTTATTTTTGATTGATTCAACGAATTTTCTATGATAGAACTTTAGTGACTGTTAAGATTAGTTCTGAATGCAGTTTCTCTCGTTTTATATCTCAAACCCTTTAACCCTTTTCTCCTTAATCCTGATTAATTCCAATCACGGAACATCAAACCCACCCTTTCTCGGAAAGTGTGCGCGCTCTTCATTCCCATCTTATAAATACGAACTCTAAACGGCCGGCCTCCATATAAGGATTGTAAAAAGACCACTATATGTGTTCTCAATTATTTCTGGTAAGAATTTATTGCCACGTGATACAGAATGAATGGTGACGCACGCTGCATCCTGATATACTACTTTGTGAGAAAAAAAAGTTTGAAAAAAAAAATTTATTACCTTTTATAAACGAAAATTACCGCACTGGGGATTAAATTGTTGTAATTAATTTTGGTAATTATTTTTTGATTAATGGCATTTTTTTAATTGGTTTTATTTGGATATTATTGAATTTTGTTGATTCGTCTGACTAAAAGTATATTTTACTACTTGTACTATTCACTAATTTTTATTTTTGTTTCTAAAAAATTCAAAGCGTCGTCTGACTAAAATTATATTTTACTACTTGTACTGCTCACTTATTTTTATTTTTGTTTCTAAAAAATAAAAATTCTAAAATTTTTTTTTGTTTTTTGTTTTCTCAAAAATTCGTCAGACTATAATTATTGTTTACTACTGAGAAAAAAATATAGAAATAATTTTAAGTATCGTCTGACTAAAGCTAAATTTTACTACTGAAAAAGGTAAAAGTAGATTAAAATAATATTTAAATTACAGTCTGACTAAAAACGGAATTTTACTACATTTCTCAGTAGTAACATTCATTTTTATTCAGACGAATTTGTAAACAATTACTACTTTTTATATAATAATTTATAGAATAATTACATTATAATATTGTTAATAAAAATATTTATAGTGAAAATTAATCATATTTTCGGTCAGACTAAATTTTAAAATTATTTTAATAATTTTGAGTAGTTAAAAGTATAACTATAGTCAGACGACGCTTCGAATTTTTTAGAAACGAAAATAAAAATAAATGTGAGTAGTACAAGTAGTAAAATATTCTTTTAGTCAGACGAAGCTTTAAAATATATTTAAAAACTTTTGTCAGTAGTAAACTATAATTTCAGTCAAACAACGATTTCAATGATTGAAATACTATTTTCAGTAGTAAAATACAGTTTTAGTCAGACAAGACTTAAAATTATTTTATTACATTGTTTATTAAAAATTTATTTGTACCTACAATCAATTATAAATTAACGTTTATAATAATAATGACAACAAAATAAAAATAATATAATAATAATAATAAAAATAATATAATAAAAGTACTTATAAATTATGTGTAGCGCTTTTTTATACTTTTTTATCTAACAAAGGAGTATTTTAATTTCTTTTTTTTCTGCCTGTTTATTTTATTTCGTTTAATTAATTTCGTTTAATTAATTTACTTGTAGAGAAGAATTCCATAATAATGCGTTAAACGTCTCTCAAAAGGTTTTTCTGCAAAAAGGTTGCAAATTTTTTTTCTTTTTTTGCACACTGAATAAAGCACTGGCAAACTGTCAATAGAACTATTTAAATTTCAAATAATTCATTATAGCTAGTTTTAACAAAAGTAAATGAATTTAAAAATATAAAAGAATTTTGCCTCTTTTTCATATATATGCGGAGTCTTTAAAAAGTTCTATTAGTAAACGTCAGTTTCATTTCATGGAATAGTTATTTTTTGTTCTTTTTGGTATAAACGCTTTTTTGTATGAATAAAATTTTTCTCTCTGGAAAAAAATATTTTAGACAATAAAATAATTGGAACTATTAAAATTATTTAAATCTTTTGTGGAATAGCTATTGAATTAGGAAAAAATTAGAATAAAATAATAAGTAAAATGGTAATTTTGAATTAAAAGAATATCAATTAGTTTCAATAATTACTTTAAAAGAGATTTTAAAAGAACTTGAGAATTAAATTTAATTAAAAATTGAAACAACTTAAAAATTAATTGATTGAAAAATTAAAGTAACATCCAAAGTTAATTATAAAGAGAAATAGAAAGAAAAATTGAACAAAGAATTTAAATAATTTGAAAATGAGATAAAATAGAGTCACAATAACTTGATAATTAATTTTAATAAAAAATTTAAATAACTTGAAAATTAATTTGAATAGAAAAGAATAATATCTGAAGAATTAATTTGAATAAAAAATTGAAATAACTTGTAAAATTAATCATAATGGAAAATAAAAATAACAGAATTAATTTGTATAAAAAATTGATTTTAATAAAAAATTAAAATAACTTAAAAAAAATTTAATTTTAATAGACAATTAACAAAATTATTTCCATGGAAAATTAACCAAATTAATTTCCATAGAAAATTAACAAAATTAATTTCCATAAAAAAGTAACAAAATTAATTTCCATAGAAATAAATTAATAATTAGAAATAAAATAATAATTTTAATAAATAATATAATTGAAATAGATTGAAAATTAATTTGAATTGAGAAGCAAAATAACTTGAAAATTAATTTTAATAAAAACTTAACAAAATTAATTTTAATAGAAAATTAACAAAATTAATTTCAACAGAAAATTAACAAAATTAATTTCCATAGAAAAGTAAAAATTTTAAAAATGAATTTGATTAAAAATTTGCATTAGTAAAATTAATTTTAATGAAAAAATAAATAACTTGAAAATTAATTTAAATAAAAAATTGAAATAACTTGAAAAATAATTTTAATAAAAAATATACTAATAAAAAAATAAATTAAAAAACATAGAAAGGGATCAAGATTAGCAAATGTGAATAAATATTTTTTTTTTGACGACTTTGCCGAAAGAAAGGGGGAATTTAGATGTGAGTTTTAAAAAAAGAAACTATTGTGATTGCATTAATGGTAGCTCTTTTGCTTTGTTAAAACGAATTGTCAGACGTTAAGTAGAAAGTGCTTTTGAAAGTGTTAGGTAAGATCAGTCTGGGGAACAAGGTTAAAAATGCAAACTCAGTATATCTAAAGTTTTTAAAGAAAGCTTTCGCGATACGTGCTCGTGCTGACAGGAGGCTTAAAGACCGCGAGTTACTAACTTTTTCTTTTTTTTTTCTTTTTCTTTTTTTTTTTTTTTTAAAGAGGATCAACTGGTAGTACTGAAACTTTGATACCGAGTTCAAAGAAACGACATTAAGCCACGTTGAGTACCACTTTCAACTCAGTGAAATAATATGTCTGTCTTCCTTTTTCTCCCTTTTTTGGGCGCAAAAATCTCATATTACTCGTAAGACAAGTATTTAAAAATTTAAAAAATTTTAAAATACATTGAAAGATATGAAAAAGAGTAAAATTAAGCAGAAAGTTTATTTTTTAAATCAAAGTAATTATTTTAGATATAAAAAAAATTATTTCCAGTTTCAAATTAATACAATTATCTCCTATTTTTAATTTAAATAATTATTTGCAATTTTAAATCTCAGTAATTATTTAAAATTTCAAAAAATTATTTTCAATTTTAATAAAAAACAATTATCTTCAATTTTGTATCAATTAAACTTTTTTTAATTTAAAAAAATTATGTCCAATATTAAATTAAAATAATAATTATTTTCAATTATAAATCAAAGTAATTTAAATTTAAAAAATTATGTTCAATATTAAATTAAAATAATAATTATATTTACAATTTTAAATCAAAATAATTTTAAATTTAAAAAATCAATTTTAATTTCAAATCAAAGTAATTATTTTTAATTAAAAATATTATTTTCAATTTTAAATTGAAATAATTGTGTCGAATTTTAATTGAAAGTAATTATTTTTAATTTAAAAAATAATTTTTAACTTAAAAAATGATTTTGAATTTTATATTAAAATAATTATTATCCGTTTGAAATTAAAATAATTATTATCAATTTTAAATAATAAAATAATTGAAAATTAAATTTTGGTTAAATTAGAAACATTAGAGACTCGAAAATTTACAAACAAATTGTAAATAACATTTCCAAATTGTGAAATTTTATTTCATTGAAATAGTTATTTCAATTGTGTTATTTCACGAGAGAGAGAGAGAGAGAGAGAAAAAAAAGATAAAATAAAAGAATCATGAAAGTCTAATAAATTTTTGTCGTTCCTGCATAGCGAACAATTCGCTTGAAAGAGTATTGGGTCAGAGTAAGCCGGATGTAAAGCATCTGTGAAACATTTGGTGTCGCGACCCCGTTTCCGTTGTAAATTATCGACTCTATAGCTAAACGTTCTCTTATATATCTGAAAACTATGGTACACCGCATAAGTGGTGATCGATTTTTTTCGTCTTTTCTTTTTTCCATTTTTACGATTACATTTAACAGGAAAATTTTCGGGAAATTGAGCTGTTAAATTTGTGAGGAAAAAAAATATTTTTCATAAAAATAAAAACATAGTCGAAAAGATATATCTTTATATAGAATCGTCGAGGTATTTTTTTTATGTATAACTGAAGAGTTTTAGGACACGTAACTTTGGTTTATATATTTTATTGGATTTGTTTAAAAAAAATTAAACGAATATTATTATATTCGTTTAATTTTTAGAGTAAAAAATTTTAGTTAGAGTAGAAAACTTCTTGGATGGATTATTCTAGGAAAAAATCCGACTTTTAGAAACGATAATTTCTTGGAGAATTAAAGGAAATATTTCTTCAATTTCGAAAAATTTCTAGGATAATTATTCAATGTTTTTTGACAAATAAAAAATTTTTTTCAAAAATTAATATCAAGCAGCCCTAGTCGGAAGTCAGATGTCTATCTTGTTTTTGTCATTTTTTAGTTATTCGGGTTCAAAAAAGCCAACGATTACTATTTAGAAACAAAATTCAATGCTAATTTATTACTATAAAAAAAAGAAATAATTCACAAAAAAACGTGAAGTGTTAAAATAACACCAGAATGGATTAAAATAATCTGCAACATTTTAATCCCTCTAGGATTAAATTAACACCAGAAAGGATTAAAATAATCTATTTTGGTGTTATTTTTAACTATGAATGAAATTTTACTTTAAATAAAACACCAAAGTCAACGATTTGTAAACATTCAATGAACTTAGCTTCTCCAGGGAGAATAGTAAGTTAGTAAGTTAGTTACTAACTAACTTAGTTACTAACTTACTAACTAACTTATTAACATAGTTACTAAATTCAATTGTGTCCAAAAATTTAAAAAAATTCTCGTCAAAATTTCAATTCTCTTTGTAAATAATAAAATTCTTCTCTAATATTCAATTATTTTACAAAATTTTAATCAAATTCTTGTCAAAATTTCAATTATTTTCAAAAGTTTTCTAAAATTCAATGATTTTCAATATCTACTACTATTTCAATAAAATTTTTCAAACGAATTCCATTATTAAAAAAAATTTGAATAAAATTCTACGCAAACATTCAATTATTTTGATAAATAATAAAAATTTTTACAGGAATTGAATTATTTACAAATTTTTTTTTATAAATTTCTTCGCAATAATTCAATTATTTTCATAAATAATAACATTTTTTCAGGGAATCAATTATTTTTATAAGTAATAAAATTCTTCACAAGAATTCAATTATTTTCATAAATAATAAAACTCATTGCAGAATATCAACTATTTTTAATGCAATTTCAATCAAATTCCTCGAAAAATGTAATTATTCTTAAAAATTTTATTAAAATTCGTCCAAAGAATTTAATAATTTAAAAAATTTGTTGATAACATTTTTTATGACAATTTAATTTCAAGAAACATGAAATTAATAAATTATTTATTTTTGTATTTAAATAATTGAATTCTCGTAGAATTTACTAATAAAAATTGTTTTAAAAATGAATTTCAGTTACAATTTTAGATTAAAATTAAATATTAAAAGCATTATAACGTGAATTTTTAGAGATATTTAAATTTTGAAAAAGTTTCAAACTAAAATCATTGAAATTCTTAATTTTTTCATATTTTTGACAAAAAATTCTGTAGAATTAATTCTTTTTAAAAGTTTAATAGGATTTTTATTAAAATTATTTTAAGTTTTTATTTTTCAATATATATTTAATTGCAGAATTTCTGAATAATTGAAATTTTGTAAATTTGAATTGTAAACGAAAGAATTTGAACATTCTCCAAGTACTTTTTTAAAAATTATAAAAAATAATGGATTTATTGAAGAATTTTAGTTAAAAACACTAGAAAAAAATTGAATTTTAGAGAAGTTTCAAATTATTGCAGAAATTCAATTATTTTCAAGAGTAATAAAATTCTTCTTAAGGATTCAATTATTTTTACTAATAATAAAACTGATCGTAGAGTTTCAATTATTTTTCATACAATTTTAATTGAATTCCTTGAAAAAAGTAATTATGTTCATGCAAGTTTTAATAAAATTCGACAAAAGAATTCAATTATTTAAAAATTTGTTGAAAAAATTCTTTATGAGAATTGAATTTTGAGAAACATTCAATTATTCAATAAATTATTTACTTTTCTATTTAAATAATTAAATTCTTGTATAGAATTTTTTAATAAAAATTGATTTTCATTTCATAAAAATGAAGTTCAGTTAAAATTTTAGATAATAATTGAATATTAAAAGCAACATAGCATGAATTTTTAGAAATAATTGAATTTTGAAATTAATTTTTTTTGAAAAAGTTTAATTGAATTTTCTTTTATATTATTTGAAGGTTTTATTTTCTAATATGCATTTAATTAAAGAATTTAGAAATAATTGAAATTTCGTGAAATTGAATTTTGTAAACGGATTTGAAAATTACCAAAGAACTTTTTCGAAAATTATTAAAAATAATTGATATAAAGTAAAATTGTAGTTAAAAATTTTTGAATATAATAATTGAATTGAAATAATGAAAATAATTTTGAAGAAGTATAATATTCTAATAATATAAAATAATGATTTTATTACTTGATCATCGTTAATTATTATAAAACATGAAGAAATCGATCACTCCGAGTCGAAGACTCGGAGTTATCGATATCATCATGTTTTATAGTTATAAAAAATTTAATGAACTAAAATTTCATTCATTGTAAAAAATAACACCAAAATTGATTATTTTAATCTTTTTTGGTGTTAATTTAATCTGCAACAATTTTTAATACCTCACGATTTATTGTGTTATTAATAAATAATAAAATAATTTTTAACGTTAACTTAAAATAAGCCATTAATTAATTTTCAGAAAAAAATTTTACTATTTAGTAAAAACAAAAAAATAATTTTTAATTTTAATATTTACTGACTTTCTTCTTCGGAGAGATCCTCGCCTAAACATTGTAGAACAGCTCGTAGATCGGATGCTGTAATGTATCCTCGATTATGTTTGTCAAACACCTGAAACATATATAAAATAAAATGGAAGTTCGGTTAAAACTATATATTGGTGAAATTCTTGTAATTTCTCACACTATAATTGCTTACGGGGCTTCAGTTTAATGAATCGACGACGTACTGTGCAATCTGATCGTGGCGAATAATCTTTTGTAATTATTCAGCTGAGAGATTTGAATTCAAAAGTACTGTACTATATACGAAATGAAGAGGGGAGAGCAATTAATCGTCGTAATTTCAACTTGGGAATCTTTCGCCTACATATATATGTTGATTGAGAAAAAAAGAAGACAATTTGAGAATTTCCTAAAGAGACGATTTTTTCATTCGCTTTTAATTTTCTATTACAATTTTTTTTTTAAATTAAGAAAAAGTAATCTCAAGTATCGTTTATTTAAGGAGAAAAAATATTTTTTTTTTGTAATTATTCCCTATGATTGGTATTTGAATGAAAAAAAATATTATCGGGGTCTTCTTTCTGTCGAGAGAAAATTTTATTTCACCAAGGAATTAATTTTTTAGAAAATAATAATTTTAAAAATTGTTCCAAACTGAAATTTTCGAAACAAAATTATTTATGCATATTGAAAAAATGAATTTCAAAAGAAAATATAAATTTCCATGCTACTGCTGGTGAAACTTTAAATTTATATCAAAGTGAAACCGTTTAACTGGGAAAACTTGTGGGAAAGATGATTTTAACTTTAGAAATCAATTTTACAGCAGGTGAAAATTAATTTCCAGCTTCTGAAATTATGAACCATTATGTGTGTGTATAAGAACATTTTAACTTGAGTTAATTCACTTCCTAAAAGGGAGAAGGAGGAATGGGGTTAACTTTAGTTTCCCTTACCGATAAAATCGACAATATCGTTTTTCTCATACGTGGAATAGTATAGTGAAGTTTGCGAACAAAATTTAACTTGCAAAAAAGGGCAAAAGCCCTTTAATCTAATCCTAAGAGGATTCGTTTCTCGTATGTTTGCAAAATATTCTTTCCCACCAGCTCACAAAAGAGAAAAAGAAAAAAGAAAAAAATCAGTAAAGGAAACGAAAAATTCCTTGCGAAAAAATGCCTCACTTAGATAATAATTGAAGCACAAGGAATGTTAATGAAACAATTTTTCGAAAAATCGAAAAATATAATCAAATTTTCAAATTCGAATTACATTAAATTTAATTAAATTAAATTTTCTGTCACTTTATTTATATTTAATTTTATTTTTTTATGAAATGATAGTCGTCCGATAAAAAATTGTTATTATTACTAAAAAAATGTGACGAATGGATTAAAATAATTGTTAAGCACTGTCTGACAAAAATTCAAGCTATGTCTGACTAAAAGTAGATTTTACTACTTGTGCTATAGATATTTATTCTTATTTTCTTTCTAAAAAAATTCTATTTTTAAATGATATCTTCGAAAATTGCAATTATTTAAAAAAATATTCTAAAAATTATCCAAGAAAATTCAATTATTTAAAAAAAAAATTAAAATTTTCTCAGAAGTTCAGTTATTTAAAAAACTTTTAATAAAAAAATCCAATTTAAAAATTTAATTATTTTTAGAAATAATGAAATTTTTGCTGGAATTCAATTATTTTAAAAAATTCTTATCAAAAATTCAATTATTTATTTAATTTTGCAAAAATTCAATTCCTTGTTAAAATAATAAATTTTCACGCAAGAATTCAATGATTTAAAAAAGTTTTAATAAAATCCAATTCAAGAATTTAATTAATTTTAGAAAAAATGAAATTTTCGCTGTAATTCAATTATTTTAAATACAATTTTAATTAAATTGCATGGAAAATTCAATTATTATTAAACAATTTTTTTTTAATTCTTCAAATAAATTCAATAATATCAATAATTAGTGAATTTTTCACAGGAATTCAATTTTAATAAAATTCTTCTCAAAAATTCAATTATTTTTCTAAAATTGCAAAAATTCAATTCTTTGTTAAAATAATAAATTTTTAAGCAATGATTCAATTATTTAAAAAAATTTTAATAAAATTCTATTCAAGAATCCAATTATTTTCAGGAATAATTAAATTTTCGCTGAAATTCAATTCTTTTAAATACAATTTTAATTGAATTCCAGGGAAAATTTAATTATTTTTAAACATTTTTTTTAATATTCTTCGAAAAAATTCAATAATATTAATAAATAGTAAATTTTTCACAGCAATTCATTTTTTTTAAATATAATTTTAATAAAATTGTTCTCAAAAATTCAATAATTTTTTTTTAATTCGCAAAAATTCAATTCTTTATTAAAATAATAAATTTTCACGCATGGATTAAATTGAATTATTTTCAGAAATAATTAAATTTTCGCTGGAATTAAATTATTTTAAATACAATTTTAATTCAATTCCAGGGAAAATTCAATTATTTTTTAAACGTTTTTTTAAAAATATTTCGAAAGAATTGAATAATATCAATATATAGTAAATTTTTCACAGGAATTCAATTTTTTTAAATACAATTTTAATAAAATTCTTTTCCAAAATTCAATTATTTTTTTTAATTTTGTGAAAATTTAATTCCTTGTTGAAATAATAAATTTTCACGCAAGTATTTAATTATTTAAAAAAGTTTTAATAAAATTCTATTCGAGAATCCAATTATTTTCAGAAATAATTAAATAGTCGATTTACTGAAAATCATTGAATTCTTGTAATGTATTTATAAAAAAAATTTAAAAATAATTGAATTAATTTCAAGAATTTTATCAACATTTTTTTCAATAATTGAATTCTTTCGAGAAAATGTAATTAAAATTGTATTGAAAATAATTTAATTCTTGGCAAGTTTTTTATTAAAATTCTTTTAAATAATTGAATTGTTTTGAAGCATTTATTTCAATTTTCAACATTCTTAAAAATAATAATGTTTTTTTAAAATAATTTTTACTGAAAATTTTGAATTTAATTGAATTCTATGAAGAATTTCTATTAAGTTTTTAAAATAATCGTGTTTATTATTAATTGTAATGAATAAGTTTCCTATTAAATTATATTAAAATTTATTTTTATTTATGTTTATTAAAATTTATTATTTATGAAAGTAATTGAATTTCTTTGTAAAATTTTATTATTAATAAAAATATTTTAATTTTTGCGAAGAATTTTCTTGTTTATGAAAATAATTGCATTCTTAAGAATAATTTTACAATTCATCAAAATAATTAAATTGTTTCGAAGAATTTTATCTGAATTTTTTAAAATAATTGATGTTTTGAAGGAATTTTATTAAAAATGTGGAAAATAATATTTTTTTTAAAAAGAATTCATCATTAATTAGAAAATATCAATGAATATCAAAAACAAAAAAGCAGAGTAAGAAAAAATCTCTTAACTTTCATAATTTTTTTTTTGCAAAAATTAATAAAAAAAAATGTTATGCAAATACAGAGTTTGTCACGCAACAACGGATGCGAATTATACATAAGGAATATATTAAAGAGACTGTACAAGATTAAGTTATAGTAATTGTCAGTAGCAAAGTGTCAGGGAGTTGAAACGACAAATCGAATAATTTCTCCCTGAGATCCGGCTAATCGTATGCAAGCCGGCGTTGCATAATACCACATAACGAAGATCGTAGTTCCTGAAAGTCAAGTGTTCATTACTATGCAAGCCAGTACTCGTATATCCCTTCTGACAACTTCTAATCGTTCCCTAAAACTTAGTCAAACTTCCGAAATCCCTCTCAAATCCCAATAAAAAAAAAACTATTTCATTTTATTGCTTACTTCCGTTTCCCTCTGTCTCAATATTCAATATAAATTTTAATCAACATTATATTGATAATTATCATTAAAAATTATTACCATCATCAATATTACAAATATTAATTACTTAACAATTTTCAATTAATATAGTCATCAATATTATCCATTTAATTTTTGTAAAATGTAATTATAAATCATTTTTTTTTCAATAATTTTTTTCCTTTTTTATTTATTTTTTTTTGAAATAAAGAAAGAATATTTTTAAAAATTTTTTTAAAATTTCTAAGAGGAGTATAAAATTTATTTCATTAAAATTTGACGAAATTTCCGATTGTAAATTTTGAAAACTATTTTCTGGAATTTAATTATTGACAGGAAATTTTAATTAAAATTTTTCGGTGAACTATTTTTTTCAGTATTTCTAAATTAAATTTTCCAATAGTTAAGTTATTTTGTTAAATTATTTTTAATACTTATTGTTATTTATTTTCCACAAGTATAAAATTTCTAGAAATTACAATTTTAAATTTTTTGAATATTAATTAATTCTCTAAATCAATTATTTTTAATAATTTTGAAATTTTCGTTTTTTGTATTTAAAAAAATAAAGGTATCCGGACAAGAAGTCTAAAACAAAAAGTCTTAATTAACTATAATTATAATTATAATAATAATATATTATATTATTATATATATTATTATTATTATTATTATTATTATTATTATTATTATTATTATTATTATTATTATTATTATTATTATTATTATTATTATTATTATTATTATTATTATTATTATTATTATTATTATTATTATTATTATTATTATTATTATTATTATTATTATTATTATTAAACTTATATTAAACTTTTTTATTATAAATACCCAAATATTAATTGGAATTGTTCTAGAAATAGTTTGCGAACAATAAAAATTTTCTTGACTAGCAATAATTGTTAGTAAACAGAAGACAAAGTTCGCTAAAAAAATAATTTTTCATCTTCTGCTGATTATCGGCTGTGGTTACTTTTTATGAAATAGGAATTAAATTAACTTTGATGACCCAGATATTAATTGGAATTGTTTTAGCAATAGTTTGAGAGCTTTAAAAAATTATTTGAATAAAAATTGTTAGAAAACAGAAGATAAAGTTCGTTCAAAAATAATTTTTCATCACCTGCTGATTATCGGCTGTGGCTACTTTTTATTAATTCCACACGTAAATTCTTTAATTTTAATCTTCTTTTTATTTTTGTATCCA